ACTGCCACTGCTATCGCAGCCAGGGCAGGAAGTTCAGTTAGATTACGCGGGACCTTTAGAAGACTATAAAGGAAAGAAAATCTACCTGCTGACAGCGATTGATCGGTTTTCGAAGTTTTTTTCGGTGAAAGTAACAAAATCAACGGGGGAAAAATCCACTATAAAGTTTCTACGGTCGTACATAGATACACACGGTATCCCAGAATCGATAAAAACCGACCAATTTTCCGGATTCAAAGGAAAAGCCATGAAAAAATTCTGTCTCGAAAATAATATAGAATAAAAGTTCTGTCCGGTGGGCGACCATCGCGGGTGTGGTTTAGTCGAGAGAACAATTCAAACTATAAAAAGGCGCTTGGGGGTGATGTTACTGGAAGAAAATGTAAAGTCAATTAATCTATGTCTCAGTACGATCATTAGGGACATGCGGTGGATAAAACAGAAAACCATACAGAAATCACCGTTTGAAGCACATTTTGGTAGATTACCAAAAACGGAATTTAAAATTATACGAGATAAATTTGTAGAATTCTCTGATAATTTAGATAAGCAGCATCTGGAGAGGTCGGCCCTAACTGCAAGCCAACTCAAGAAGAGGATTGACCAAACTCGGGATTCCCTAAAGATTGTCAAAAAAGGGCAGAAAAGCAGGGATGTCAGTCCCCTTTTCAAACAAGCCAGTATGACAACTCAGGAAAGAAACAGAGCAAGAACTCTGCGGAACCTGTTGGAGGCTAACGCTAACTGGAACGCAGAGCGGCGTAGATATGACGGACCCAGCCTCTCGCAATTAGTGGACACCACGAGTACAATCGACCCTGACCTGCGAAAGGAGCTACTTTACTCATGGGAAAAGGTATTTGTTGAGGACAAACCAAAGGGGTCGGAGTGGAACAGCCACAACCTCAGTCGCAGAGACGAGACGAGAAAAAGTGGGGCGGCACTGACAAAACCGTTCAAGGGGAAGGTTGCTTTCGATTCACCAAAAACAGTGACAACAGCTGCAGGAGCAGTATACAGGAAAAGTGATCTGGTGAAGTTACCGAGTTCTCCTACGAAGACACCCAAGGAGGGAACAAATCAAAAGGAGAAGGCAAAAAGTCCACTAGAGGAGCCAAAGAGCAAACACCAGAAGAAAGATGACGAGCTATTGGAGGACACAATATCGGAAGAGGAGGACTGGAATATATCGAGGGAACAGGCAAAAGACGAACCTCGGGGGTCCAAAGACAATGGGACCGAAAACGCAAGAACAGGTGGCGCTAAACCCGGTAGGGGAATCGCGAGATAAAAGAGATCAAACACTTAAAAACAAGGGCAAAGAAAAAAAGACAGCTGCTGTAGCAGCAGAAGAAGTTACTAATCCAAAACAATCAGATGGGGATCAAGCTGATCGTGCAGGCAGTTCGGGCACCAAAAGTGGACACTCTAGGAAGCGCATAACAAGGGACACGTCACCTAGCTCAATCTTGAATGCGTTCCAAAAACAAGATATGGGAGACGAAGAATGACAAAGCCTCGCCGAACAAGTGCTGACTAGAGGTCTACAAAGAGGACAAAATTATTAAATCCAGAATGGAAGATCAAACAGAGACGACAGGCAAACACGGATCTCCGTCAGGAATTTTGGACGATTCAGTCGTAGTCGATCAAGGAAGTGCGAACGTCAGGCGTAGTAAGCGAACCACGAAAAACCAGGGGCCTAAAAGACTGGGCAGCCCCGTCAAACATTCGGTTAAATTCATTAGCGCGGACGACGATGCAGACGTTAACGAAATGGCCTTAGAGAAGTACCGATCCGGACTGGCGAATGTCAAAACGGACAAGAACAATCCGATGGAAACCCGACTGAAGCTAAAAAACAGTAACCAATCTCAGCTACTAACTTCATTAAAAGACAAGATCAAGAACAGTAAATTAACAGTATCTTTTCTTACTTTTATTCCTCAACACGCTACGCAGTTTAGGGATACCACACTGTCTTATAACACGCGTAAGCGGCAGATTAAGGCAAGTAACTTGGTCTTTTTATTAAGATATGAGACGCTAATACATCACTTGTAGTTTAAATTAGAGTGTGAAGATAGATTGAAAACAAAACTTGGCTCTGATACACGAGCAGCCTTGCTTAAAATATTTATTTGGAGTAGTCCCAAATTTCTCTTCTGTGTGGCATAAAATTCAATCTCGTTTGCTGAAAAGGTGAAAATTTGCAATTGTTTTGGACCAAAAATCAACAAGATTGCTCGTACCATTGCAAAACCCTGAACGTTTCGACTGTCTTTTAAGGACTATGAAGCAGTGTTCGCTTTTGAAAAATGATGAACTTTTCGAGAAAAAAAAACGAAAAAAAATTACGTAAAGTTTGAATTTTTCTTAAATCATCCTCCCACATTCCATATAAAGTACAAAGTTAAGGATTTTGCTCCTAGTAACGTAGAAATTATGACAAATGACATGTTCAACCAAATTGGAACGATTTCTACGAGGGTTTAAATCTCCGTTACGCGTTAATAGCGCAAAATATAGCGCGCGTTATTTGTCCCAAATTGGTCATATTGGCAATCATTAAACCCTTATATCTTTATGAAAAATTATCTCTTCAAAATTGAGCTCAGAACAACTTTTCGGCTGACATAAAAAAATTTTGTCAAGAAGTCTAGGTTAAAATGTCGAAATTTGTCTGAAGAAAAAAAACCCGTTCCCAAGCATAAATATTCTGTTACTTTCGTTACGAAAGTCGGAATAATAATCAATCAAAAATCACTGGTCGAGAAGGCATGCTTGCGGACTGGACAGCTCAAAAGAAAATCCCCCGATATTATAATCGCACCGGATACCTTTCGGAGGACCAAATGATTCCAAAACAAACAAGACTTCTCGTATATCAGGGCAAAGCCCTAATGTTCTGACTGTCCCTTAATTCATATCGAATAGATCTTTGGGAAAAGGATATAATGAAAACCTGTAATTTTTTGACAATATCAAAGTTTGCAATGTTGAGTCGCATAAAATTAATACGACCAATTCAATTAGCTAGCCTCAATTTGGAACAATTTTTCTGTGCGGCATAATTTGCTACGGAATAATAATTCGCGTTACGCTCTCGGCATTATGAATAAACTCTTCAAAGTGCGCATAATTTAGTCCAGAACATGGCCAATTTGACAATTTCAAATTGCCAGAAGTTTACAAAAAAAGATCGAAGGTAAAATATCTTTTTAAATTTGAACTCAAAAAGTCAAATATCGTCAATGGGGCAAAGAAAATTTTTGTTGAAAACTATTATTTCGATCGGCGAAATTTGATTGAATGAAATAAAACACACCGATTATAATTATTTCGTTTTCTTCAAAAGTCGGATTAATTAACCCATTGATTGTTTAAGATCCCCATTATTAGTATTAGGCAAAAAGCAACTTAGTGAACTAAATTTAAGTTGGAAACAATAAATAAAAGTAAAGTCTAGAATAGAATCATTAATGGAATTAAAATAAACTGACAAACTAGCAGCGATAATTTTTAATTAGTTCTTGGGCGGGATATTTCGCCACGCATAAAAATTTTGCGTTACGCTCTCAGCAATAGGAATAACTTCTTCAAAGCGCGCATAATTTAGTCCAGAACATGGCCAATTTGGCAATTTTCAAACCCCCAAAATTTTACAAAAAAATAAAGTCGGAATAATTATGCGTGTAATACGCCCAAATTATTTTCCTTCTTCGCGTGAATTTTTGTCACAACTGAACTTGCGATAAACTAAGGCGCTACAAGGATTGTTGTATAGGGGAGCATTCTCTTGATCTGCGTGGGCCAAGCCGGCTGTGCACACCACTAGGTAACTACCATGAGTATGTCTAAACTGCTCGTTTTATATTTTACACACGTAACGAATTATCCCGCATTACAAGGCAAATCGTTCCAAATTGAATTGAGGCTGCTAATAAGTTTAATTTATTCCATACACGACTCAAATTGTAACACTTGAGTTTTTATATGACCAGCATAAAATTGATCGTTTTGCGCAAACTTAGCTTAGCAAAAATTGTTTGAGACCAATTCCACGGCAGTCGGAACATTCAGGGCTTTGCCCTGATAGGAGCAGTCTTTTTGTGTATGCATAGCTCCGATGAATTTCCAGCTATCTGCTACATTGCATATTGGTTTCTTCACAACAAAAGTTCTTTTTTATCCTTTACGACAAAAGTATCAAATTTAAAGTTTTGATGGCGTCTGGGATCTGATAGGTCTGGGTGACAATTTTGTATCACTGCTGTTGGCGAATTTTCTAGAAAAAAAATTTTCATCATGTGTTTCTTGACTGTTGAGTTAAAATACGGAGGATTTTCTCCTAGATGAATTTAGTCTTACAGGGATTTTATCTTGACTTCGGCGTATTTTGACTTCGGAGATTTTTTCCTAGACCTGAGAAGGTCCTATAGTGGAACTCAAAGTCAAAATATGAAGTCGAATCGGTCGAAACCAAGGTCGAATACAAATTTTAAGTATGATCAACTGAAATTGACCAAATAGACCAGCGATGACAGCGGACGCTGTTGGAGACATAAATTCGACTCACATACTCGATGGAGGACATCGACCAACCCATCAATAACTAAATCGACCACTTCAACTCGGATCCTCGTTCACACTCGGTAGAATGGTTTTTTCTCGGAACACACTGGAAATATTGGTTGAACATCTTTTTGGTCGAAAAGCCTTCTTGGGCAAAACTGATCAAACGTTTTTTTGTCGATCAAACACGGCTAAAAACCTTACTCGTCGAACATAGTCGAAAGATAGATGATGCTAATCGAGTCGGTCGAAACAAAATTTGCGAACGTTTTTGTCTCTTTAAATAGCCTGATAATTTCAAATTGATAACATCTTTGAAATGTTTCAGGAAAGAAGACGCCAATTAAAGTAAGTTAATGACAACAACTTTCGACTAAGAAAAGTCAAATCTTTCAGCACATCAGAAGTTGTTTTTTTTTGTTTAGAAACTGAACTCGTTTGAGCGACCTACAAGCAGAATTTCAGTTACAAATCTTTCTTATCGACCAAGATCAGGGTTAGTTCTGATTGCTCTAAAAACCTCTACAGTAGCAAAGTATACATTAGCAGGGGCTGTTTTTAGGGGATGGAGGGGATTAAGGGTGGTGGACACACTCACCCCCCTCCCTCTCAAATATTCAAAAAAACGACACCTTCAGCACCAGCTGAAATCTATATTCTAACTAGTGGCCTTCTAGTGCTGTCTACCTTAACTTGAACTTGAGTGAAGAACTACTGTTTCGATGGGAATTTAATTATCTACCAAATACTTTTATCCGGAAAAGATTAAGAGATTTTTAAAGGGTGGTATTTTCGGCATTTTGAGAGCTCAGAAAACTAATTTAGTTAGCCACAAAGTAGTTATCAAAAAAAAATTATCAAAACCTTTTTTCGAAGATGATTTTCTCTATTCTCGACCTTTAATTTTTCAACTTTATTTTCACCTTAAAAGATTTTTTTTGAAATTTTTATTACCTCCTTTCTGTAAGCAGACGGCATAAAATTGGCCACAAGTTCTTCATAAAAAATAGTTATTTCGAATTTTAGTTTTTTTGCTTTCATTTTCAATTTTTACGCTGATCTGATTATTTTGTGATCAGTCGAGCACCATAGCTGAAGTTAATTATTATTTTTTCTAGGTATAAGCAAAAAGAGTACGCTTCTACGCTAACTTGGCTCCACGAGAAACTTTCCCCGAGACGTCGTGTCGCCTCGGCCACCGCTGCATCTCGCGCCTCCCCTCTCGCAGCTCCCTCGAGTGTAGACCCGATGAACGCAGGTGTCGTCGGGAGAAAGCTGATGGCTGTTGATAGACCGCTGAGTTCGGCTGGACTGTACAACGATGTGCTGCGATCTAGTCGGCATTCGGGTTCCGCAGTTTACCGACCGACTTCTGGGAAGAAGAATGCATTGCCTCCAAGTAAGCATTTAACGGATTTCTCAAAGTGTCTAAAAAAACAAAATAAAAAGTTTTAAAAAAAACAAACTATTTTTTCGACAAACTAGAAACAAAAGCTACAGCAATGATCTTATTCTTTTAACGTATCACTGCAATTGCTTGAAAATGTTTCTCGATGTTTACTTGACAGGAATCGGAGACGTGGTTCTTCTGGCGCCTCAAAACAGTGGCCATATCATCTCCATACCAGACAGAAACATAGCACTTATCATGATTGCAGAGGCAACAGGTAATAACGTGGTTTAATCGAACACAAGCGTTGAGAAGATTTTTTGTGTTTTATTTTATAAAGCTTATTAGCAATTGAAAATTTTCTAAACCTATTCTGGAGGGAGTTTTTTCGAGAATGAGGACTCTATCTTAGGGGAGCAGGATTTGGAGGATTTAAATTTCGATACAAAAAATCCCCCACCCACCCCACACACACACACGCACACACTCACACACACGCACACACACACACACACACATAATATATACACGCCCATTATCGCCAAAATAGGGAATTTCGTTACAAGGTACAAAACTCGCATATGCTTAACGTTAATTAGTTTTTTTACAATCGTGGAAAAAACCCAAAGCGTAAAACTATAATTTGCATTAAACTCTATTTCATTCACCATGTAATCTCCAGATAAGAAATGGTTAATATTTATATTTATGCTGTAGCTGTGAATGGGGGTGTGGTGAGTCGTCTGACGAATGACGAGGAAAGATTCGTGTATGTGAGATTGGACCAGCTGCAGTTTGATCACACCTTCGGCTGGTGGAAACCAAACAATTACTTTGGAGACAGGTGTGCACATCTAACCACAATATTTCTGCTGCTAGCTCTGATAATGATCCTACATTCATGAATTAGAGTTCAAGGTCACACCTTTTTTTCATCTTCCTTATCTTTTTTTGGATATAAAAAAAATATCCAAAAATTTCACATCGTCATTATTGCAAAAAAAAACGTCAAACGTTTATTAGATCGCTTCTTAGCCAAATTGGATCTTGTTCGAGTATCCTGTTCTAAAATTGTTTATATTTTTACTATTTTAACTGAGAAAAATTAAATTTTGAGGTGTTGTGCTTGGATCAAAAAATCACTTGAATCGAAAGCAAAAACTTTCGACTGAAGCCTTTCATTCCGAACTGTTTTTACAAGCAAACAGGACTGCTCGGATATCAGGCAAATCCTTGAATATTCAGAATGATTTATAATTTGCCTCCAGTAGTTTTGTCGACTCTTTTCCCTCCCTCCCCCCTCCCTACCTGAAAACTTTTATAGCAAAAATTTGTTCACACTTTCTGATTGTTATAAAAACTGAACATGGCCAACATATTTGGTTTTCATACTTAATCTAGTAAAATTAATCCTTACACCATAAAATTGATACAAACCCAAAATCGGAAAGGGGAGGGAGGGAGGGAGGGAGGGAGGGAGAGAGGGAGGAGCCTTTGATACGCTTAAAACTTTGAACTGTCAGCATCAAATAATCAGCGCTAAAAATTGAGTCGCATACAAAAATAATACGACTAATTCAATTCAATTCGGAAGACAATAGAATACATTGTTTTTACGAAACTTGAGGGTCAGCCAGCCAATCTAGAGGTCCTAAAATAGTACCAAAGGGGGGTACCCTTTGGGTAGTCAGGGGTCGAGTACCTGAGGGGGGCGTCCTAGCCCCCCTAAACTTTTTTCTGGTTCGATTCAAACCATCACAAGTTGGGGTTTGTTCTATCACAATTTATGAGACAAGGAATTTCATTTGCTTGCTGGTTGCCTAATTTTTCAATAGGAATATGATTGTTTTGTATTTCTGAGAAATGAAGCTGTCAAAATTACGCTAGTTGATAACTTTTCATGTTTTCAAACTTTTATGCTTGTCGAGGGGTCAAGAAGACTGCTCGCCTATCAGGGCGAAGCCCTGACTGTTCCGACTGCCCCTTAACCTATATCGAACTATTTGGAAAAAGAAGAATTTTTTGAAAAACTGAAAATTTTGGACAAAATCAAAGATCAGGTGTAGAAATTTGATCATAAAAAATTAATACGACGTATTAGCCAGCTCCAGTTCTTAATTGGAACGATTTTTTTGTGCGATATTGTGCCTAAATTATCTGAGATACGTTTTCAGCATTATGATTAAAATATTCAAAACGCGCATAAATTAGTCCAGTGCGTGGCCAAATTGGCACTTTTCAAACTCACAGACTTTTCCAAAAATTGATTTATATATCTTTTCAAGAAGTCAACATCTTCAATGGGGTACAAAATTTTTTGTCAAAGACTAAAACTATTATTCCTATCGCCGAAAGTTGACTGAATAAAAAAAACCACCACAAGCAAAAATACTCCGTTTTCTTCAAAAGTCGGAACAATAATGTAAGAGTTTAGAACAACAACCGACTAGATTTCAAGTCAATGGGTCTTCAGCCTGAGCCTCAAAAATTAAAGTGTTTCAAACTGCAAAAACTGTGATCAATAGAAATTATATTTTTTAATATGAGAAGTTTAGATAAACTTATTAGCTTTTTTGTCCGAACAGATTGTATCAGATGTCTTCCGCATGTTTGATCATTAGGTTTCAGAAATGCATAAATACGAACCGCTAATTTTTCGCTATCCTGTTTCTACTATCGTTTTTTTCGGCTATCCGATATTGGCCTTACGCCAAGTCACCCCCTCATTTTGTTCAACAGTTTGTTACGTTTTCAGAGTCACTCTGATGGACTCAAAGAGGTACACAAAGTTTAAAGTGGATCCAGTTCAGTTGGCATTTGAGACCAGAATGCAATTCAACCCATCCGGCACTCTACAACAACAGCAACAGCAACAACAACAACAGCACCAACAACAACAACCCAAACAGGCTAGTTTTAATTTATCTGTCTCAGCAAGTCAAAGCCACTCAATCATTTAATAATTTTTCTGAGATACCAATTTGGAGAGATATAAAACATAGAGCCTTGTTAAAAAGTGAACAATTTTTGTGAGATAGACTTGCCGATAAAATTTTTGGACGCTTTTTCTTTACGTGTGTAGGATCCTGCCTTGTCATCGTCAGCACAGACTTCGCTGGTTGCATCTCTGGTCAGCAGTGAGAGGGGTGACCAGAGTCCAAATAGAGGTGAAGGGGGAGGGGGAGGGGACAGTCCTGTGGAGTGGGGCAGAATGCACAGCTCCCAGTTGGAGAGGTCAGTATATGAACTTTGTAATTACCAAAATGTATGGCACAGCGCCGATGTATCAATTAAGCGAACAGGACACAGGACAGACTAGCTCCTTACATTTCAACATTTCAATTTGAACAGATTTTTTCACATTTTTTCCAATCAAGCATTTAAAATGAGGCCTTTAAACTCTGCATAACGACCGAGTTTAACGCAAAATTTTTTTTTCATTTGTTATAGAGTTGAAATACCCCTAAACGAAAAAGAAGACGAGTTACTAGGATTAAAAGAAGATGACGAAAGTGACAGCACCAAGGGAATGTCTCGGGCCAGCTCCCCAGTCGGCGACTCCAAAACCGAATCAAAACAGCGACGAATCGAATCTCGGCTCGAAAATGACGATGAAATTCAGAAAACGGCTTCAGATCTAGCAGCCAAGATTATCAATTTAGCTATAGAAGAAATTGCATCAGGAAGCTCTCCTGACGCATTAGCGGAAGAGATCTTTTTGCAAAATGAAGAAAAAACAGAGAATATGTCGGAAAACATCGAAACTTTGGATAATTTCCACACCGATGATGATCAAATAGCAACAGTTAACATTGAAATAAAAAATAAAAATCTAATTGAAAATTGGGACGCAAACGAAGGAGAAGCTAGACCATTTGGTTTGGAGCGCGCTTCTTACTTGAATGAGAAAAACGATATCAAAGCGCAAAAAGAAATCACAATAGACTTAGACGGAGTCATTGCAAATGATTCACACGTATTCATCAATCAGGTACCAATTTGTCTACACTTTCCAGTTTCCTCGCTCATGGTTTATGAGCAGGGTTATAAGTTTTTCACTGGTTTGAGTTGCAAGGAAACAAATTTATTTGACAAGAAAAGTTCCGTAAGCAATTTTGTGATGCTCATTAGAGGCGGCATTAGGGGGAGAGGACACCTTTCCGTCTCCTCGGGGATTCGGACACCTTTCCTTCTCCTCGGAGATTCGCGAAGCCCTCGCCATCCTTTGCTAGCATTTAACGACATCCACTTATGGGCCAACCGACCGTAGATCTTTTCCAAGGGCGCTTCTGACGCCATAATATACAAACTTTGAAGAGGATCGCTCCAAAAAAAACACAGTTTTTTATCAACCCTTTCAAAAGTTGCTAAGAAACGGCATTTCGACCTGTTTTCTTAAATTGTAAAGTGAAAAAGGGATTAAGAAAGGGGACAAACTTGATAGGGAGTCTTATTCAGATTATATAGTCAATCAAACATACATGAAACGGAAACTGGTACAACTTCTGATTAGACATCAGCTCCATGAGAAAAATGTTTGTTCTCTCTTCAGGTTGACAAGGAAAGAGATGAGAGCAAAAGTCCTACACTTTCTTACCGAGATATCAGGTATCCTTTTTTATATAATATATTAAGAACGAGTATTCCGAAGGGCTGGTGACTAATTCTTTGATTTTGTTTGTAGGTTTTCTTCTAAAGGCGCTAACTGGTCAAAAGGATTCGACGCAGGGAAATATGCAAAAAGCACAGGTCATCAGTCAAATTGAAAATATTCAAAATCGTTTTGGCTCTTTTGAGATCAGGGGATTTTTAGGGGGTGGGGTTTTCCCTGAGGGATTCGACGCTCCTACAATCCAAATGCCCCTCGTTTGGTTTTAATTTACAATAGTTTCGGCCGATGAACGCAAAATTTTTCTGAAAATGCCTTCATCGCCAATACAAACTTATTTTCAGGGATAGGGCGTGCCAAACACAACTATTTTTTTTGGGTAAAACATTCCAAAAAGTGCCTAAAAACAGTGAGACATCGGAAAATCTTTTTGGCCGACATGAAAATTAACTTAGCTGGAGAAAAAATTTGATCAACCCCTGGTTGAGATATAAATAAAAATTTTCTGCAAATCAAAGGTGTTCTTATCTTATAATATAAATATTTTTTAATATCAAATTGTCGCCATTATCCATTTGAAGAATTATGTGTGCTGATGATCTTGGGTTTCAGATGTGAACCCTGTGGGTCCGAATACTCCAGTAGGAAAGGGCCTCGCCCCCAGAAGGGCTAAAACTGCCTCCACAGCTGGAAGGTTACGCCGAGCCAAACAAATAGTTCCGACAGTCAAATCAGGTCTGAAAAAATAATAAATAATGTTTAACATGGGATTGATTTAGCCCATGTGATTGGTTTGACCGTAGTTTTGTTTGGACTGGGGTTGGGAGGCAAGTTTTGTCAGGTTACCTTTGAACATAAAACTGCAGAAGACATTTTCGACAGCTAAATAAACTGCCAAGGAAAACCTCAAACTCGTTTGAAACCTCGCCTCTTAGCAGTAAAACTTTGGTCGACCGATAGTATCTCGCAACTTCTGTCTTAGATTTTTCAGGGTTATGCCTCGACAAGATGTGTAGTTTATTGCATGATCCTGGTGAGTTCTCTACAAGCAGTTTCACAAACTTATTTTATGTATATAACTTTCTCGTAAATAAATCAAGTTTTCTCAAACTAAGTAGGTCAAGTAAAGCTAAAATAGCCAGTTTTATTTAATTTTTTCTGTTAATTTATTAGCTTGCTTAAAATGTCGATAACGGAAAAGCTGGCGCCGATGAGCCAAAAACAGCCAAGAGCCAAGCTATGCTCATTAAAACTTTTATTGTTCCGACCACTGAAAAAAGGGAAGAACTTTGTATTCGGGTGTGTTGTAATTTCTTGTTTCCACGCAATATCAGGCAGGTAACCACCACCAGCGGATTTAAGGGGCCGGGGGGGGGGGGACTGCCGCTTTAACTCAGGGATTCGACCCCCCTGCCGATTCAAAGATCAAAGAGCCCCTTTGAACTATTTTGAGATATCTGTTTTTGGCTGAATGACCCTAAAAATTTTCTAAAGGCGTTTCTTAGTCAAATTTTTCCAAAAAGTGCCTAAACGCCTTTTTTTGGCCCGTTTTTTCAACAAAATTGCATGCGGCGCAGAAAATTTGGTCTAAATAAGGTCCTCATAGTGATTTGGGAGAGCTCAGAAAATCGATTTGGTTGACCAAAAAAAAACGATAAAATTATGGATATTTTTTTTGAAAATCCCCCCTCGAGAAAATCCTAGATCAGTTCCTGGTTACCACAACTAATCGTCAGAAGGTTTCAAAAAACTTAGCTTATTGAATCTTTTGTAGTAATGATTTGAGCCCTATTAAAAATTTCGAAAAAAAATAACTCAGTTTGAAGAAAAACTTGGTTACTTTTTTTTTGATTTTATGTTTAATTTCGAATAAAGCGAGCGAGCAGATCTATAATACGGAAGTAAGAAGTAAAAGTTTTGATTAACTTCAGAAACTTTAGATGATTTTGAACGTTCTTTAGCGTTTTTTTGACAACACAATATATAAAAAGACCAAAAAAAATCTGCAACAAATTTAAAAAAAAAACACAAAATTGTTTTGAACTTTTTTGTTTTTTGATTAAATTTTTGATAACACTGTTGTCAAATATGCGCATTTTACCCTGACTATAGAATTCCTATTTGCAAGACCTTTGCTCAGATCCGCTTATAACCGGACATAATGTTTGTTTTTATTTTGTGGTCTGAACTTACTGTGCTATTTGCGCATAACTGTTTTTGAGAATTTCGAAAAGCAGATCGAATCATGAATGAAAGCATTTATCGGGCGTATAACTTAAACTCTTTCGACCTTCATTTGAGCTAAATTACTTGCTCCTCTGCTCTTTCACTGGTCGGAGTAAAAAGTCAAATCCTCGCAAATTTTACATTAAAAAGAGAACCGGGAAGAAATACGGAACTGAAAATGTCTTTTTGCTATTTGCAGGAGGGCGGTGGCTGGCAGGTGGCAAGAACGTATATCAGCCGACGGAGCTGAGCGAGAGCTTCCTCATCCCCGGCTGGGTACAGAGTATGGAGCCCAGAGCAAAGAAAGCGTACATGAGACGGATGGTCGACAGGTAAAAAACTTACAATGTTTCATGATATTTCTGCCTTTTCCTATTATAGTCCCCTGCCCCCACACTGCCAGCTAATTATAACCCCTCATAATCGTAACACGCATTATCCAATCAATCTTATCATAACCCACTCTTAAAAAGAACAATATAAACGCTTGAGGCAATAGCTTTATCATTATTAATTTTTTCTACAGGTCTATAAATTTTTTCGTTTGGGGAAGCTATCATGGGAAGAAGCCTATATTACTGTCAACAGTTCTATTAGCTTTGCTTAACATTTCTTCAGGTACTCGGAGTCGTCATCGTATTCAAGTGAGTGAAATTACGACATACCTGTTTGCATAAATGGATTTGAGCGGACCTAACTCTTTGCCAACTAATTGGAATTTTACTTGAGACCAGGGGGTATCTTAAAGTACTGGCCAAAAAATGTGTTTTTTTTTGGCGCGCAGATCCTTCTTGAAAGCTAAGTCTGTATGGCACTAAAACGTAAAAAAAAAGGTTTCCTTTTTGTAAGTTTCCTCTATAAATCACTCAGGAAAAAATACGGTCTCTTCTATTGTTCCTCGCCCACTGCCAAAAAAAAACGAAATTTGGTTAAATCACTATAATCCAGCTGCATCACCATTATCAACTTTTGAGTTCCGCGACTTTAAAAAAATCTTTGAAAGTCGCGCCTCATAACATATGGCCTCCAAACATTTGCCTAAAAACTTTCACCCTAAAGTTATCACCCTTAATGAGACATCCCCCCTTCCCGAAAAGTGTATCTCATAAATTCAAGCCCATGTTTTGGAAATTGACAGGGTCATCAACTGCATCCGTAACTGTGCCCTCGCGAGTCTCCATCAGAGCCATGAGTGCCCAGATGAAGAACGTCTGCAACAACTGCTCTCCCACTTCCAGGACCCAACTGATGGAGAGATATTATTCCCCCAATCTGCTTCCCAGAATATCGGACCCCGAGACTCACTGGCGCCACAACTTTGTGTGAACGAATATACGTTCAAAATGAGATAGTTTCTAAATGCTAAAACGGCTAAAATAAAAAACGTTACTTAGCAACAGTTAAAAAATTAACTAGTGTTTTATCTTCTTTTGTTTTTATCGTTGAGCTTCAAAAAATTAGTTTCCTCATTGTTTTCCGACCATCGAAAGCTGGAGAGTTTTACATTTGGAATTTAAAAAATTACGAAAAAAAACTAAAGTTTGACCTTTTATTGTCCCAATTTGCGATAAAAAATGTGCAGAGAGAGTAGAGAGCTCAACTCTATGTTAAATCCTACTAACAACGTTGCGATTGCACTAAAAGTAATCCACCTTAGTCCAGGCGTAACTGATGCACTATAAGCCTTTTATGATGCCAATCTGGTAGCACATTACTCCTAAATATTTTTGAGCTGTTTTATTGAGTACCAATCAGGTGCCTTGAGTATCAATATTCGAACGGGTATCAATAGTTTCTCATTTTCTATGAGTTTACCGCAAGGGTTTCTTCTATACGCTTGATCAGGTTTTCTATGTACTTCAATCAAGCGTCAAATGGTAAAAATCTAGCAATTGCATATCAAAGAATTGAAAAATCAATAGTTTCTTGGTCTTCTGGAAAATTTCCTTAGTTTTTACCCGAAAATTTTTTGAACTGTTTTTTTTTTTGTTACCATGTCATTTTTTGCTCTCCCTCAATTGGTTATCATTCTCTATCTTCAATTTTTTTAGAGAAAAGATATCACATTTTAACTGCTTGTTATAGTTTCTCCTCGAGGAGATTGAGTTTTACCACCGGTTTGATGAAGTCCCCTCTAAGTGTATTGAGCAAAAACGATCTTGCATTGCCATCCCTAACTTTGTAGCGGTCCAAAATCGCCTGTTCCTTTCAATACACATACCAATTCCCCTATCTCAGTTAGGTCAATCGCTTTCGTCCATTTTGTCGCCACTTTGCAATGTTGGCAATTTTTCCTTGAGAAGCCGAGCTCAGAAAGGTTCCAATGATGCGTTAACCACTTTCCACAGTTTTCTTGTTCATGTTTTCTTGTTTTGTATGTAAGTGTAAAAGATGTTTACTCTTTGGCGTGCCTGCGAGAAAATTACTTGGTGTAAGACATTCAATGACAGTACTAACTGCTGTCAGTAGTCTAATGATCGATAAGGATTCTATTAGACAAACGATTGTCGTGAAGCTGTCTTAATGCCGTTTCTTTGATCCAGCATAGTTGGAGAAGAGCCGTTTCCAACTAATTGTTCTCAAACTAATCGTTCCCAAATTAACCGTCCGCAAAATGCGGTGCTCCAGGTGGCATGAATATCCCTATAACTTTCCTGTACTCCACGTATTCCTGTAGTTGGACCGTCGAAGCTGTACTTCCTTCCAAAAGCGTTTGCTGCACTGACTAGGGCTGCTGTACTGCAAGCATTGCCACTATGATTTAAAATAAGTAGTCAGGGTCGACGAAAAAAAACTTGAGAATGCCTTTATACAGGTTTCATCCTTCAAGTCTGATCTGACTTCAATGTGTAATGCTCTAACATCTAGTCAAGTAAAAAGGGAACAAAACATCTGATGAATCTTTTTGTTGCTTGTGTAGACACCAAAGGGCCGAATAAGTCCACTGTTGTTTCCTGAAATGCGACTGTTTCAGGCGAAAATCTGTACGCTGGTAAAACTGTCATAATTGGTTGGCTTTTCAACTGACGTTCACGCCGACACTCGTACCTTTCGTTGGAATTATTTCGTCTAAGGACCCAATGGTTTTGTTGGATGAAATGCAGCAGTTGATCTCCTTGATAACCATTAGACTTCTGCAAAATAGCAAAGAACAAACGCGTAATTTCATTTCTAGCATAAAGTATCATTGGAGTAGCTGAGCTGAGAGTAATACGAGCATTGCTTATTTGATTAATGGGTTGAATGATATTGTTCGCATCCAGTAAAGGAGAAAAGAATGTCAGCCGGTTTTTCAGCGAGCCTGAAGAGCATATGGATATAACACAGATCCTGGCTTAAAGCTTGTTTCTGTGAGAATTTGAAAAAGAAAATTTCGGCTCTGCTTATTAACAATGTTCTCGGTGTATTTGTTTTTGATGGTCGTAGAATGAGCAATGTGTGAAAAAGAGCACGCATTCAGAGCCACTGGCTGATTCTGTTGATATGAATTAGTCGTGAGTTCACTCTGATGACATTTTGTTGTAGTTGATTGCGGATGTCCAATCCACATCTAAAATGAAATCAAGTTTTCGCGCTCTTTTTCATTTCCGCTCTTTCTTTGTCTGCAGTGTTTGAATGTGTGTAGATGAAATGCCAATCACTGGGATGAGATGACTGTAAAAGTTCATCAATTCTGTTTACAAAAAGTATCTGTTTTGCTCGAAAGCCTCGAACCCAGACAGAAATAGCCTGCTAACTTTGAATGGGAGATAGCGGACTAGTGTTGCTCATAGTATGGCTGCGTATAATACCCCGTGTAGTTCAAGGCGAAGCCTTGTGTTTAGTCGTAACAGGGCTGCTGTATTTTGCCCAGAGTGAAATTTGCAGTTTTTTGCCCTTCTTAACTCTGATGTATAATACTACCGCTGTTGCCAACAAAGAATCATCACAGAAGATGATTAGCTCATTCTCCTGACAATTTTTGCTGACAAAACGTTGTCTAATTTTCACTAGTTGTAGTTGAGTTAAATCACCAACCTAATTTAGAAAATTTTCAATAAGGATTGATTTAAAATGTCAAAAAATAACGTAGAAGTTGAACACATATGACCACATAATTCTCTGCGACCACCTCTTTTTGCGCATTTTTTTTGTCTGATTCAAATACCAGGTTCCAGTGGATTGAATTGACCTCAAACCTTTTTGTCAAGGGTTTGACGAGTGCGTCTTCTGCAAGTCTCTCACAGTGTTGCGGCCGTTGCTGCACCATTTTGTCGGAATGAAGCATCGTTTGCTCAGTATATCTTCCAGCTGGGTTGCCAGGATCATTACTTTGCCAAACAATTTCATTGACAAGAGTAAGTTTGGCCATTCAGAGTTTTCCTTAATTTTTTTAATATGAGTTGTTTATACCGGCATTATCTCTGGCAATCTGTTCTAAGTGAAAGTTAGCGCAGCGGCTGAACCTCGTGTTCCAAAATCAATTTGTTGATATTCTTAAACCTCAGTACGTTCTGGATTAAAATTTTTCCAGAGAAAATGAAGAAATTTCCTGTCCGCCTGTTTGTCCGCCTCTATTCCTCATATATCCGCGTGTATAGACAATTCAGTGACGCGGAAAAAAAGCGATCAGTAGCATGGTCTCACTGGAAGCTTTTTGCTTCAGCAAACGCCTCCGAATGGATTTTTAGCGCTGCTTTTGCGTTTAATCAGGCTTGTTTGCCTTCAAAAGTCGGTAATGTGTTATATATTAATTGGGTTTCGACTTTTTTTTTCTTTAGTAATTTTTGTAGATTGCCTTTTTGCAGAGAAGTTTTTTTTCTTTGTCGTCGTTTTTGCTGAGAATTGTTGGCTCCTTTTGAACTAGTACTTCAATTTGTTGTAGATATGTTGGAGCAAGTGGTTCAATATTTGGTACGCTCGAGTCCTTAGCCCAAAGAGGTCCTGTCTTCCGTGTGGTAATCTACAGCAGATTTCCCGTAAAACTGCGTTTGGTCGTCTGACTTCCTCTGATTGAGTCTTCTCTTTGTATGTTGAAAGTGATGCTGTTTTGCACGAATGAGCTATTCCGTCCATGACGCTGTACTCCCGGTCCAGACATGTCTCGCAAAATGTTTTGACATGATAGATTGATTTATTTGGTTCTCTAGTAGATGCATCGAATCCAGAGGGAGCCCATGCAGATTTGAGATTTCTCGCGCTCGGCGTGTTTGCAGGCATAATTTTCATTTGAAGTGGGGAAATCAAAGTGAATTTGTCTGGTTCAATGAGTATTGTTGCATCCGTTGTGTACAATTTCATTGTTTTTCTAGATGTTTGTTTTGCTTTGCCATTTCAATTTGATACTGATAAATTGTTGCTCAGAATACTTTATCCACTATAGAAGCATTTTTCAAGTCGAAATTTTATCTCTGAGTATGCTTGTTTTATGTGCAGCTGTTTTATTTTAAATTTTGACATCTGAGCCAATGGCCGGCCAGAGAAAAATTTGTGCTGCTTCAATTTTTCAATTCCACAAACATCGTCAACGTGCTTCCAGGGTCCAACACTCGAAGGGTAGAAGGGTATTTTACTGGTAGAATGTAAAGTAGATACTCCATGGCCTCTGTTTGCTTCTGAAATTTTTTGGAAAAAGTTGTTGATTCTCACGGCTATTGAAGAGCATCTTTTGGCTGCGTAGAGGCTTATAGCTATGAATTGCTGTTTACCCTCGTGTTGTGATCTTAGCTCCGTAAAGGCGTCAAATTATGTGGCATATTGCAAACCGGAGAGCGGAAATTGTTCTTTAAATAACACTAACAGTACCTGTGCCTTGACTTTAAAAAAATTGATGCAATTAGTCGTTGTTATGATCATTAAAATTTTGAATTTTTGAATTTGGCAGTGCATTAGAGCGTGTGTGATTATTGTTGTTGACGAAGCAAGAAGTGCTTTTGTTGGCGTCACTAGTATTGGGTTTGGATGCGTTCATCGATTCATATCTAATGCCAGTCTGATACCATCCTCATTTCTCTTGATCTGTCCTTGTACCGACAACGTTTCAGTAGCATGCTTCAGTATAATCGTCGCTTGGAGATCGGAGAAAGTTCCAGTTTATCACTTGTCCGACCAATCTTGATCAACCTAATCAATGTTCTGGGTTTGCCTGAAAGAGATATTGAAAACCAGATGAGCATGTCGATGAAGCTGTTAACAATAGCTCTCGGATGGCTGAAACTTCGTCGTAATTCTCCAGAGACAATCTTAAGCAAATTGTAGCTTTATCTTTTCCCATGACTATTCCTTGCAGGTGTGCAATTTTTTGAGTGTTGCTGATGGGTGTTTCTACGTTGACAAACTTAGATCGCTTATAGCATCTTCCCGATTTCGTTGGGTATTCATAAGTATCAGCAATAACTTCTCATTCATTTGTCCTGTGCTGCCTTGTTTAA